TTACTTTTCTACGTTACTTTGGAGGCCTTTTGAGATCTGAAGGTTCTCAGACTTTGAAGAGAGGCTATATTGACTTTTCTGATTTCCTAAGATCTTCATTGGTTATGACCCAAAGGACTCTTTGGTAACATCACCTTGGCTTCAACCCGTAAAGTAGGTCAATATACATTCACACACATGCATACACATTGATAGATTTTCACACACCCAGCACACATGGATACGGGGACTTTCCCTCTGCAAACCACTTTCTCTCTCTCTCTCTCCATGCAAAACCAACTTCTATCTCTCTCTCCGGGTTTCGGGCTGCAAGACCGAACAGACCACCAATCTCTTCCTCTCTCTGGTTCTATCTATCTCTAACACACACACACACACACACGGAAAGGAAGGGCTCTCATCTTCTCCCTCTCGGCACCTCTCTCTCTTTCTCATGCACACGTAGTCGGTTTTCTTACCCAGGAAACTTTGTGATGGTGTTAGACATACATGCTTGAATCAAGTTGATATAATTGTTGCTTCTTAGTGTTGCTGCAGGTGTTGGTTTTGCCCAGTTTCTAGTGATACCATGTGCATTATTGTTCCGAAGTGCGGCTGTTGCTTCGGTAACAAGAAGCCCCTGTTTTACTTTTGTTTCGCTGGAGAAAAATAAAATCATGGTTATTGGGCCGTAAAGTTGTGGGATTTTGGTGCTGCAGAATAATAACTCATGTGGATGTCATTCACGTTAGGTTGGTGCATTTTTGATTGGCCGGTGGGCCGGCTTGACAGTGGGCCGGTTTTGTTTGAGTGTTGATGGGGCCTCCATTGAAGATGAATACATGGGCCGAGGCATAAGAACCGATGGTTATTTGCAAGTTGATGAATGGCCGGGGATTTCAAACTTTTATTTTTTTATTTTTGATTTTGAGTGTTTTGTGAGGTTTTATTTTGTTTTATTATTTCTTCCTCCTCTTTTATTTGGATCTGTAATATTTAAAGTGTTGTAATAATCTCCTCACCCTGTTTCTTTCTATCCCATTCTTTAATCGCTTTCCCTAACTGTACATATGTATATATCTGACATGTCATGCATATCCCTGCTTTACATCCATGTTCCATGCATTAAGATTCGGCTAAATTTGCATCCTTATGCTTTAATTGATTATCCTATGGTTTTATGCGCTATCAAATGTTTTGCGATGTTTCAAATATCATATTTTAGAAGTCGAATCTTTAGTGCATCTCATGAGTGAATTGCATTAGGATTTTGTATATAAGATCATACATGTTTTACTAATTTTGTTTTGTAGTTGTTTGAGGGACGTCGGTCAATCTGTGAGTTTTTATGCTTTAGCATCCCATTTGTGTGTACTTTTCTTACTATGTGTTAGTACTCTACCATGAGACTACTTGCTTACTTGATATAACTGTATGAATGCCTGTGGATGAAGGCTTATTGTTTGAATTTGAATAATTCAATAAATGTACGTTTTAAGCCCACTTTGCAGTGGCAAATTCACAAACTTTAAGCCCACTTTGTCAAGTGGCAAATTCAAACCTTTTTCGAAAAACAAACATGAAGTTGAATTGTTCCAATTTGAGCAAACTAGTGTATACTTGTATGCTTCACATAGTAAATTTTAGGATTTACTAAAATAATCAAAACATGAACATATAAAAAAAATAAAAGTCATATCATGGTTTAGTAGAGGCCGATCTTTTGATCGAGTGAGCGGGGGTGCTCATCATTGACCTTCCCCTCTCATACCTAAGGTTCCGAGCCAAGCATCCTTGGTTACGACGAACAGTGGCCTTGGCACGAGTCATGGGTTTCCTAATTTTCCAAAATATTAGGTGGCGACTCTAAGATCTGATAACGCAGTCCATTTTTGACAAAATTGCAATAAAATGGATTTTTAATAAAAATTGCCAAATCTGGACTCTCATCTACATTTCATATTGCACTCGTGAGACTAGACCAAAAAGATCTCGGGAGTCCGAACTGTTTAACGCGCGCAGGTACCCCCCAGGCATGTTACAGGACCAAGGCATAAAAAATTTCATACACAAATTAAATAACATTGATGTTATTGTTTTATATTATTATATAATATGAATATATTTTTAATTGACAACAAAATAATGTGAACATTCTCTCTTATCTTATGTGAATCTTAACGTCACTTTTATCGCAACGTCATCTGATGTGAACATTCACATTCACGTCATCTAATATGAACATTCACATCATCACATACAGTCATGTTTATATTCAAATGAAAGTTGAGACTTGTGGTTATGTAATTTAATGCAATGCTGATGTGAACCTTAACATCATCTTTATCACAACGTCATCTAATGTGAACATTCACATTCACGTCATTTAATGTGAACGTTCATGTCATCACGTACAGTCAATATTTGGATGCATGAGAACTACCAAAACATAATAATAATCAATAAATAACCATATTTAATTTTTTATGTGTAATACATATCAACATTCAATAGTAGTGTGTAGTTAATGCATTTTTTTAGAGTGAAGATTTGGGGAGTAGGAATGGTCATGAAAATACCAAAATATAATGACAATTAACATTAAAAGGGGCAAGAGAGATTGACGGTGTTTTGATTTTCTTACCTCAAATCACTACAAAAAAATTGACTTTTTTGCGACGGTAAATTACCGTCGCTAATACTCCTAATGCCGTCGCTAATACTTTTTGCGACGGCAAGAGGGGGGTCGCAAATGCAGGGGTTGCAAAAGAGTTTTTGTGACGGTACTGTGCAGTCGCTAATAATGTTTGAAATTTCTTGACTTTTTTGCAACAGCACTATTTTACCGTCGCTAAAAATGTTATTTAAGACGGAAAAAAATACCGTCGCTAAAAATGTTATTTAAGACGATGTGGTGCCGTCGCAAAAAGTATTTAAAATATGAAATTTCTATTTTTTGCAACAGTGTAATGCCGTTGCAAAAAGTATTAAAAAATAATAAAATTTCTATTTTAAATAATAAAATTTCTATTTTTTGTGACAGTATAATGCCGTCATAAAAAGTAAAACCTGTAACAAAATTAATAAAAATATTAAAATTTTCTATTTTTCGCGACGGTGTAATGCCGTAGCAAAAAAGAAAAAAAAACATCCTACAATAAAAATATTAAAAATATTAAAATTTCTCCATAATAATATAAAAATAACAATTTCTTCATAATAAAATATTTTTTCATTCATATAATTACATATCAACAAAATTATCCCACTACATAATGTTCCATAATACATATATAATGTTTAAATACATGATTTTGTTCATAATTCAAAATAACATAAACCAAATTTCATTACTAAAATAATAAAATAAATTGCATTTAAATTCTCACTTTCATAAATAAAATTGAGGTCTAGACAAGATGAGCCATTTACTTTGGGACCCATATTGACCCATCCAGTATTGGGTCAGACATGATTTTATCATACCATGTTTTTTTTGTAATTTTCCCATAAATAAAAGAGTAGTACTACATATGTACCCATAAGAATAAATAAAAAAATAAGTGCTTCCTGTATAAAAATATGCAACACTAATAATGAAATAGCTCTGGTGGTCACCTTCACTGTTTTAGCCTTTTTCAGTTTTCAAAAACCCATTCTCTTAAAAATATTCAATACACAAATTCTTCAGAAGGCTAAAAAACTAAAAAAACAGGTGAACATGTCCTAAATAGAAGATCAATATTGAAGGTGAAATGAAATAGCCAACAAATTAATTTTTGAACATGTTCTAAATATTTTGAATAGATATATCTCCATACTGCTTTGCGATTTCCGACAGTGAAGAGTATGTTCCCAAGACTGCACAAATAATGCCCAATGCCACCGTTGTGATGCTCAAGACAATCTGAATATGTGGAAACAGATGCAAGTAAATACAAGGGAAGTAGTTACATATACCAAAAAATATACAATAATAATAAATATTGACTATGTTTCTTCTTCCATTCATGTATGTGCTTCTTTATTTAATTATTTTCTTTCTTCTTGCTTTATTCATTTATCAGTCTAACAAGTAGTTCATGGCCATCAATTTATGCATATGTTATGATATCCATCTATTACAGTATGGTACATATGCTGTCTCGTACCAAAAAACAATGAGCTTGTTCATTTCACCAAAAAAAATTCTAACAGAAACCCAGAGCTTGTTTGGTTGTGTTTCTGTTTTCTGCTTTCTGTTTTCATGTTTTTAAAAAAACACACAACTTATTTGAGGAACTGTTTCTGAAAACAACCAACTTTTTAGAAAACACCAAAAAATTGTTTTCATACAAAAAATGGAAATGATGGGTGTTTTCAAAAAAATTCATTGTTTTTGTTTTCAAAAACAAAAAACGGAAAACAACCAAAATGCCAGTTCTCTCAAAAACACAAACAGAATATTTGCTGCTACACCTTGTTAAACTTCATTCTGCCACTCTTCTTTGAGTTAAAAGTGAAGCACAAGCATCAATTTGGTGTCATGTTCGAAGAGAGTAATATTCTTTCTATAAGAAATAATTTCTAGCTCCATAACCAAAGCAAACATTGAAATCTTTTCAATAAGTCTCATGCTAGGACATTCTTGATCCTTAAAGCTATGAGAAGGTTGTTGTCTGATGCATAATCCATTTAGTTTTCTAATGTTTTCTTCCGAAATTTGAGGATAAAAATAAGGCACAAAATATGAAGGAACAATGAATTGAGCTCTGTTACCTGGGTGGTTGTCGCCTTCTTTACAATTCTTAGGAAACATAAAGTTGGCACTATTGCTGCCTAAGCCACACCAAATGCATTGTTAATGAACATAACTAAACCCCACACAGAAATCAACAAAAATTCATAGACAAAAAACCAAAGAGGAATACAAGACATAAACAAATCAGGAATGAAACATCCATCATAAGATGTTGGTAAAGATGTGTAATCTTTAGGAATGATGTGGTTAATATGTAAGAATTTAATCTTACTTTGGGCTGCCATTGATTTATATTTTATGATTTGCGAAAAACAGGTTGAAAGTGATTAAGATAGACTGACTAATATACGGTCCATCTTAGTACATGTATTGTTTTCTAAAATGGGAATGTGGTATGGAAGTGTAGGGCATGTTTTTATGTTGTTTGGGTTCCTTAATAGGAGGACCCTAACCTTTCAATCCTAAAAGCTTATTCCTTCTTAGCCTACCACTCTAATCCTAAAAACATAACTTTTCCCCTATTATCCAGAAAACTCAGAAAGATATTACTTCTGTGTTTACACTAAAATCAGTTTTTAATGAATACGTATTCATTAGAAAAGGTCCAAAAGAGAAGATTTCACACTAAAACCAGTCTTTGGAACAAACAAGGACTCTTGCATATACTGTGATGTGTGTCAGTGCTTTCCTAACCCTATTGTAGAAAATAGGAAAA